CAGAAACGTGATTTTGCGTTGATTCTTTTTGCTGATGTTCAATAAACAAATTTTTCAGGACTTCCTATTTTGGTAGGATTGTTAGAGTTCCAGAAGTTTGCGTTAGTTACAAATTACTACAAACTGTTCTGTTTTTGACAGATTCTGTTTTGCGTGTGTTGTTTGCTTATTTTGATGAATCTATGGCTAGTAAAATAGTTTATAATCCATAGAGAAGTTGGAATACAGTAGGTTTAACACCAATATAAATAAAGAATGAGTTCATTACATTACCTTAAAGTAGTCTTTTGTTTTCTTTCTCTAACGGAGCTCACGAGATTTCTGTTGAGTTTTGTGTTGTGAAGTTTTCAAGTTTTGGATGAATTCTTTTGATGGATTATGAAACAAGGAGTGGCAAGAGCCTAAGCTTGGGAATACCCATGGCACCCCCAAGATAATCCAAGGACACCAAAAAGTCAAAGCTTGGGGATGCCCCGGAAGGCATCCCCTCTTTCGTCTACTTCCATCGGTAATTTACTTGGAGCTATATTTTTATTCACCACATGATATGTGTTTTGCTTGGAGCGTCTTGTATTATTTGCGTCTTTGCTTGTTAGTTTACCATAATCATCCTTGCTGTACACACCTTTTGAGAGAGCCATACAGGAATTGGAATTTGCTAGAATACTCTAAGTGCTTAACTTATATCTTCTGAGCTTGATAGTTTTGCTCATAGTGCTTCACTTATATCTTTTGAGCGTGATAATTTTTGCTCTAGTGCTTCACTTAGATCTTTTAGAGCGCGGTGGTGGATTTGTTTTAAAGAAACTATTGATCTCTCATGCTTCACTTAGATTATTTTGAGAGTCGTTAATAGCATGGTAATTTGCTTAATATTAATATACTTGGTATTCAAGATATGTGAAACTTTCTTTTGAGTGCGTTGAATACTAAGATAAGTTTGATGCTTGATAATTATTTTGAGATATGGAGGTGATAATATCAAAGTCGTGCTAGTTGAGTAGTTGTGAATTTGAGAAATGCTTGTGTTGAAGTTTGCAAGTCCCGTAGCATGCACGTATGGTTAAAGTTGTGTAACAAATTTGAAACATGGAGTGTACCTGGCTTGTGCATCCTTATGAGTGGCGGTCGGGGACGAGCGATGGTCTTTTCCTACCAATCTACCCCCTAGGAGCATGCGCGTAGTACTTGATTTTTGGTGACTTCTAAATTTTTGCAATAAGTATAGTTCTTTTGACTAATGTTGAGTCTATGGATTATACGCACTTTTACCTTTCCGCCTTTGCTAGCCTCTTCGGTACCGTGCATTGCCCTTTCTCACCTTGAGAGTTGGTGCAAACTTCGCCGGTGCATCCAAACCCCGTGATACGATACGCTCTATCACACATAAACCTCCTTATACCTTCCTCAAAACAGCCACCATACCTACCTATCATGGCATTTCCATAGCCATTCCGAGATATATTGCCATGCAACTTCCATCATCATATTCATGACATACATTACTTTTGTCATATTGCCATTGCATGATCATGTAGTTGACATCGTATTTGCGGCAAAGCCACCATGCATTATTTTTCATACATGTCACTCTTGATTCATTGCACCATCCCGGTACATCGCCGGAGGCATTCATATAGAGTCATATCTTGTTCTAAGTTTCGAGTTGTAATCCTTATGTTGTAATTAATAGAAGTGTGATGATCATCATTATTAGAGCATTGTCCCCAAAGAAAAAAAAGAAAGGCAAAAAAAGGCCAAAGAAAAAAAGAAAAAAAAAGAAAGGGGCAATGCTACTATCTCTTTTTCCACACTTGTGCTTCAAAGTAGCACCTTGTTCTTCATGTAGTGAATCTCATATATTGTGCTTCAAAGTAGCACCTTGTTCTTCATGTAGTGAGTCTCATAAGTTGTCTTTTTATACTAGTGGGATTTTTCATTATAGAACTTGGCTTGTATATTCCTACGATGGGCTTCCTCAAATGCCTAGGTCTTCATGAGCAAGCGAGTTGGATGCACACCCACTAGTTTTCTTTTGTTGAGCATTCATAGCTCTAGTGCATCCATTGCATGGCAATCCCTACTCCTCATGTTGACATCAATTGATGGGCATCTCCATAGCCCGTTGATTATCCTCGTCAATGTGAGACTTTCTCCTTTTTTTGTCTTCTCCACACAATCCCCATCATCATATTCTATTCCACCCATAGTGCTATATCCATGGCTCACGCTCATGTATTGCGTGAAGGTTGAAAAAGTTTGAGATTATTTAAGTATGAAACAATTGTTTGGCTTGTCATCAGGGGTATAGAAGTTGGGAACATCTTTGTGTGACGAAAATGAAGCATAGCCTAACTATATGATTTTGTAGGGACAAACTTTCTTTTGCCATGCTATTTTGAGAAGACATGATTGCTTTGATTAGTATGCTTGAAGTATTGTTATTTTTATGTCAATATGAAATTTTGTCTTGAATCTTTCGGATCTGAATATTCATGCCACAATTAAGAATATTTACATTGAAATTATGCCAAAGTATCACTCCACATCAAAAATTCTCTTTTTATGATTTACCTACTTAAGGACGAGCAGGAATTAAGCTTGGGGATGCCTGATACGTCTCCAACGTATCTATAATTTTTTATTGCTCCATGCTACTTTATCTACTGTTTTGGACTATATTGGGCTTTATTTTCCACTTTTATATTATTTTTGGGACTAACCTATTAACCGGAGGCCCAGCCCAGAATTGTTGTTTTTTGCCCATTTTAGTGTTTCGAAGAAATGGAATATCAAACGGAGTCCAAACGGAATGAAACCTTCGGAAACATGATTTTCTCACCGAACGTGATCCAGGAGACTTGGACCCTACTCCAAGAAGTAACAGAGGCGGTCACGAGGGTGGGCCCCCCCCCCTAGGGCGCGTCCCCCCTGCCTCGTGGCCCCCCTGTTGCTCCACCGACGTAGTCCTTCCTCCTATATATACCTACGTACCCCAAACGACCAGATAAGGAGCCAAAAACCTAATTCCATTGCCACAACCTTCTATATCCACGAGATCCCATCTTGGGGCCCGTTCTGGAGCTCCGCCGGAGGGGGCATCCACCACGGAG